AATTCGAGACTAGCCGAATCGTTAATATTCTTACAAATCCAATTAAAACATGTCGTAATAGTTCTACTAGTTAGGGATTCCTATAAACTTTTTGATTGAGGTAGTCAATAATGTTTAACATCTTGATTACTATCTGCATATGGTTTTGATCATGAAATATTTTCGAAAATCATACGATACAATAAAGAACTTAAACCTTACTGACAACATATGATTAGCATTACTCCAATAATCTACAAGAAAACGGAAGTTGAATAGGAACTGAAACCCAACAGACAACATGTGATGAATATTACTCCAATTATCTACATGAAAACGGATGTTGAGACCCACTGAAAACTTGGATAGAAAAATTTAAGTTCAGATGATACGCTCAACTTGGGGCTTTAAAACGAATAGATAGCATATGTTGACTATAAAAAAGACTAATGATACATGGAATATATGAAGATGAAGAATTCAAATCCCCCCGAAAAATCGAATTACTCTATTGAAGGGTAGACCAAATGCCAATAGTTGTTGTTTTGGTTGTCTATGATAGCTGCTGCAACAACTACAAGAACAACTCCAACATTGGCGACAACTTTGTAAAGTGTCAAAATAAATTCGATATTGTGGCTTAAAAATGTTTATGGCCACGAGATAAATGCGCGACATTTGTGTAAATTACACGACAGCAGCAGGAGTAAGTAGTGCGGAGTAAGGAGCAGGGATCATGGATGAGGAGGCTAGAGGAAGGAGGAGGGAGTGGCCACCACTGGAAGCCACGCATGCTCACAACTAGCCGCCGTTGCTGTTGTTGCCGCTGTTGTTGTAGGTGTTGCATGTGTTTTATGGCGCATGCGATCAACTTGTTAAACTGTCACGTTAAATTTGCGTTTTATGTCAGGCGGCAGCAGCAACAGAAACAGCTCCTAAGATCATCCCGTCGAGAACAGAGTGCAGTCAACTCGAATGCAGTGGCTTATCAGCCAGCGAACGGCTCCACATCCGCCATAGATGGACGCGTTCTTATCGCCGCAGAAGCAACTTCTGCCACCGAAGACGAAGTCGCAGGCGGATGGTTGACATTTGCCTATTTACCATGGAGCACTCGAAAAAATAATAATAAAGTGCATCCTCTTCAACTCACAAAAACATTTTAGAGACACTAGAAACCATAAATACAAATCTATGGTTTAATAGTCTATTCCAATGTGCACTCATAACTTCCTCCTTTTTTGAAACACATTTTTAAGGTTATAAATAATAAAAGGTTATTGCTTTCCAAATATTTATGATATTTTCAACAAGTTTAAATCAGAATTTAAACATGGATGATATTATATTTTATCAAAATAAGCAACTGTTTGATTAATGTTATAACAATGTTAAAATCAATTACAATGTTAATTATCAAGTTACCCAAATAACCAACTTTTTGATTTATATTATAAGCAGAATCAAAATTTATCTTACAATTTGAAATATTTTTTTTGCTAGCATAGAATGTTTATATATTTAAAAGCCTTTTATTATTGTAGGATCAATCCTATTTCATTTTGTAAATATATATTTTTTAGATGAAAAGCTTTGACAATGTTAATATTGGTATTTACAAATTAGCTGCATAGCAGACTTTAAAGGTTTTTTAATTATTGCTCTTATTATTTTAAAAGTTAAAATAATAGGAAAAACATTAGATTTTCTTAAATGTTTTCTAATGTTTTCCTATTATTTTAGTTATCAGTTGAATGGCAGTAATTTCTTTAAAAATCAAAATGATCTATTACAATACAAAACTGAATATTGCTTAAAAAATAGATATCCGCCAGAATAACCCAAGTTATTTAAAGTCATGAAGTGAAGAAACAAATGTGTTTAGATTTCCGAAATATTCGTTTATCATTCACCATTCTTCCTGTGTATGCCGATATTGGCGACATCGTCATCGGTTTGTCGTGGGTGCCGGGGCTCCCTGTCTAACCCATTTTTGTTCTTCGCCTTTTTGTTTACGTTTGCTAATTGTTTTGATTTTATTGAATTTCATTGAGTGCCGCCTGCCAGCGACGAGGACGGGAAACCGAAATGAAATTGAAAATGCCTCATTATGTGCCGAGCACTGTGTATATAGAAGATCGATCGTGGGCATGGGTGACGCGGAGCAGTTGCCTCGGCTTTTCCACATCCAGTCGCGATTCTGAGCTGCCTGTGGCATGTTGCTGCAGTTTCTGTCGCGTTTGGCGGACTTCGTTACTAACAATCACGCCATGATTCCCGGGCCAAAAGCGGAAGAGCCAAGCGCCGGCAAATTGACAGCCGAAATGGCCAACTATGTGAGTCAGCGACTTATCGGGCAGTCGGCTGAGTGATATAGCGATCGGGGCGGCTATTAATAGTTCACAGTTCAGTGATCAGCCCACGTCTTATCGCCATCGGTTAGCAGTGAAAATCCACTTGGGGCCGAGTTTTACTAAATCAATTAATTAATTTATGGCCAGCCTGTGCGGGGCAATCGTTGAGAAACAATCTTGCCGATCGGCCGCATAGAGCCAAAAAGGCCAAACCCCGCTTCCAACTTCCCCCATCCAACGATCGATTTCAATGTAAACAATTTGAGCAAGCCGGCTCGCCATCTTCGAAATACAGGGTGTCACCGGTCCTGTAGATGTATGTATTTGTGATCTATTATAAAGAGCCTCTTCTGCGACCCATTCAAATCGATCATATAGAGTATTGGTGACCCAATCCAATTGTTTTGACAACCTCTGCTCAATGACATCATCGATCTGCGTACTCGATGTTCTGTTTTATTTGATTGAAAATAGTTGAGCCACTAAATTGAACAATTCAAGGTCCGATTTCAATGTCCGGTTTAATTATATTTCGTCTATGTGTTCACTGCTAATAAACACACTAGTGTGGCAATTAAATATTTAAAGGGGGTATTTGTAACCGCGTGATTTCGAGCTAATCTCATGTTTGCTTTTGTAGTTCAACAATATATAAAGCTGTGATTCACTTAAGATTTTTTCTTTTGTTCAGATGAAAAACGTTTTACCTGAACGAGAAAAAGCTTTTTTATTGATAAAAGAAAGTATTCTTCAGTTTATCATACTACAGATGTAATCATGTTTGTCATAACTCTTATTCTTTAAACATTTTTAATTTCTGATTCATAAAAAATAAAAACATTCCCGAAGTATATATCCGATTCAAAAAAAAAGTTTTCTACAGGCTTGAAATGTACTTCTTAAGTGCTTCCCAAAATTGCGTTCAAAAAACTTTCTAAAATGTCTGTGATATGCCTGATATAGGGGTTCCCAAATAAAGAGTACCATCAATTCTTTAAAGTATCTCTGGGACACTTAAAAACTCATGGTGTGTGGACCACTCGATGCAATTATCAATCCGCCATGCTCAATCGAATGGGCAAATGCTCTCAGTTCCGAAATTAGATTAATTAAAGAACGAAGTCAATTAAGAAATCAAGCGGATTGCCTCACCCTGTACATGGCTTAGATGTATATATATATATATATGTATGAATATACCACGCCGCTAAAACCCGTGCCTGCCATATCTGATGAGCATGAAGAGTCAGCGTCTCTGACAGCCGATTGTGCTGCGACTGTGAAACTGGAGCAGCTGTTTAGAGCCCCTGCTCCAGTTCCCCCCTAATAGAGCCCCTCCCCCTCCACCTCCCCCTCCCAACTCCCACTCCACAGCCCCTTGAGACTGTATTTTCATTCATTGGGTGGGATGGCAGACATGCCCCAAAAGAGGCTCGAGATAGTGAATCTCGAGGCTAGAGATTGCCACTTAGAGAAAAAGAAGATCGTATTCCATTTTATATAAACATATTCTCAATACTTGAGTGGCAGATCGTTTTTCACTTTATGTAAACATTTATATTTTTATATACTAACGGGAAACTTCTGATAAGAATCAAAAAAAAAATTGTTTATTATTTGATGAATGAAAAACTATGTATCAATTTACTAATAACCATCATTAACACGTAGCTTTTAATTGATCAGCAATTTGTATTACCCCAAGATCACTTCGATTAATGTTGTTCTAGGCTTGAAAATCGGAATTAAAATCAGAAAATCTGAATAAATTTAACGTTTGAGTGATAATATTTTTGTTGTCAGTTTGAAACAAGTTGTAACAAGATATTAATATAGTTGACTTGGCTTTTGGGACATACGATTAGATACTTTTAAAAGGTACTGTCAAATGGTACTGTTAAATGATACAAGTTATTGTACCAGTTCATATTATACATTTCTGACATTGCTTACCTTATGGATTATTTTTCAAAACATACTTTTCTTAAGTAAAACCTTTTTTTCTGTGTATAACTTAAGTTGGGGCAGAACCCAAAAACGGAAAGTGAATGCGCCGGTGCACGCGTCTCGACCTGGGAATTGGGAGTTGGAAGTTTGAAGTCGTTGGATGGGCGCTTTCTGGGATGGGATGGTATGGGGCGCTGGTTAACTCGGTTCCGTAGCATCGTCATCATCATCATTATTATCATCATCAGCGGCGTCGTCGATTGTATCAATTCAATTGGACGCAGCAGGTGATTAAAAATTGGTTAGAGCCACAAAATTATCAATGTGAGATCGCTGATTGCCCGTGGCTGTTGTCTTTGTTGGATGCCATGTCTACCTGTGTGGTTGGCTTATATTGTGGTTTCCAATACCTTTGGGAGGCTAAGCTGCCTGCCAAATACCCATAGTTGAGTCGTTTTATTTGATTTGTGTTCGATTGGATTTTAATTTGTAAAGTGGAGGCTAATTAGAGCGTCGATCATTTCTATGAGTTTCACTTTTAAGCGCTGTGAATTGGGAATCGGAAATTGGAAATTGGGAGGAGCTGTAGACGATGATGATGATGATGGTGATGACGAAGTGGAACATGGCAATGGGGAACCTTGGCCTAGCGCGTGGGCTTGTTAACAACGAGTTTGAAGGTTTCCCACTGATTTTTGTTTTCATGTCCTATATTTAAAGGTCACCTCATGGCTGGGCAGCGATGGAGCGGAGAATCTGCAAAAGTTTTCCCAGTTGCAATGGGACAACGAGTCGCAGTTGAGGACCCAGGAGCAGGAGTTTGAGAAGTACTACTTTATAGCGATGGTAGGTGGAAAAATTTATACCATGCTCCCTTTTCCTAAGATTACTTTTAAATCCTCCATAGAAACACCTGGCCAAAGGACGCGATCTACATGCCGCTGCCCTGAAAGTTTCTGTTCTGAGTGAGAGTGCCAATAATCTGAAGTCTGCCCTGGATCAGTTTGCCCAGAAACTGGAGTTGGCCCACGAGCGATTTGAGAGCGCCGCCCGTCTGCTGCACTTGCTCACCCAACATCAGCGGGAGACAGCGGCCAGGGAGGAGCTGCAGCGTTTGGCGGAGCAACTGGGCGCCACCTCGTTGCTGGAGAAGCACTGGCCGGCGATGAGGAAGAGTCACTCCCTGCCAGTGGCCAGCAGCACCCCAGCTCCGGGTCCCGGAAAACGGGTTAGCTATCGCTGCAGCTCGGCCAGTGGCAGCTCCTTTGAGGGCGGTCCTTCGAGCAGCAGTTGCAGTTGCTGGCGGGAGAGTCGCAATCTGGAGGACATGGACCAAATGGAGGAGGAGGAGGAGCGGGACAACGACTGCGGCGATGGAGAGGAGCAGCAGTCCAAGATCGCCGACTCTGGAGTGGGCGTTTGCGATAATTGCGAACGCAATCCGAAGCTGGCCAGGATCTGCTCCTGCCAGAGCCTCAACGAGAAGAGGTGGGTGTTGAGCAGAATGTCTAATTGATAGTTTTATTAATCCCAATACCTTATTTCCAGTCACGACGAGCTGCTCGAGGACGAGTGCTTCGATCGACCCTCGAAGAGGTACATGGACATGCACTCGCCCATGGAGGCGAATGCCCATTTGCAGTGCCATGGCTCCAATCTGGAGCTGCCCAAGCTGGAGGAGCTCAGCTGCCTGGATCCCAAGATACAAAAGTGAGTTATATAACCAGAAGCAAGGAACACCCTTGTGACAAGCCCCAATCCCTTCCAGAACGCTTCTATTGATCATGCGCGAGATGATTGGTACCGAACGCGACTACGTGCGCTCCCTGTACTACGTGATCGAGAACTACATAGACGAGCTGCTGCGCGAGGATATCCCACAACCTCTGAGGGGCCAGCGAAATGTGATCTTCGGCAACATCGAGAAGATCTTCGAGTTCCACAACTCGCACTTCCTGGGCGAACTGGAGCGGTACGAGCGGAATCCCCTGAAAGTGGGAGCAGCCTTCCTGGAGATGGAGTCAAAGTTCTACCTTTATGCGCTCTACAATAAGAACAAGCCCAAGAGCGATACTTTGCTGAGCGAGTATGGTAGCTCCTTCTTCAAACCGAAACAAATGCAACTGCAGGATAAACTGGACCTGGCCTCGTATCTGCTGAAGCCAGTGCAAAGGATGGGCAAATATGCGCTGCTCCTGCAGCAATTGGTCAAGGCCTGCAAAGGAGTCGAAGGATCTGCGCTCCAGGAAATTGGTGTGGATGTGGAGGAGCTGCAGCGAGCGGAGGAGATGGTCAAGTTCCAGCTGCGTCATGGAAATGATCTGCTGGCCATGGACTCACTGCGCGATTGCGATGTCAATGTCAAGGAACAGGGACGACTGCTGCGCCAGAATGAGTTCCTCGTTTGGCAAGGACGCGGTGGCAAGAAGACCCTGCGACAGGTGTTCCTCTTCGAGGAACTGGTCCTTTTCAGCAAGGCACGTCGCTTTCCCGATCATAAGGTATGGATGAAAGTGGAAAATGATTGATAGGATTAAGAATATGTAGAACCATCTAAGGTTGAGGTTTAAAAGGAAAGATAATGACCGGAATTTGCAGTTGTATTTTTATGCAGTTGAAAATTATTTAAATGCAGATTTCAATTTTTATTAAAAAGTTGTTATTTGGCTAGTTTCATAAAATATTTAAAGCACAGATTATTATTATAAGAAATCTAACCAAGATAATATGATTAGACTTAACAACAATCAAAAGAGTAGTAGTAGTAAATAAAAAAAATATTTATACATTTTTATTTATCGTTTTTATGCAATGCAAGGCAACGTATGAGAGACTTAAGGTACCACATAAAATGCAACAAACATTAAGATCTGCTTAACAAAATATTATTAAATTTTCAAACAGAATCTGGACATCTACATCTACAAAAACAGCATAAAAACTTCAGATATTGGCCTGACAGCGCACACCGGCGATTCGGCCACTAAATTCGAGATTTGGTTCCGAAAACGAAAGCCAGATGACACATGGATGCTGCAGTGCATGTCGGAGGACATAAAGAATGCCTGGACCGAGGAGATCTCCAAGCTGCTCTGGAAGCAGGCGAAACGAAACAGAGGTTTGTAAATAGCTTTTTTGGGATATCAGTCCTCTAATCTCTCTGTGATGAATTCCTTTGCCCTTGCAGAAGTTCGTCTGGCGGAGATGTCCTCGATGGGCATTGGCAGCAAACCCTGTCTGGACATTCGGCCCAGCAACAACCAGATCAGCGATCGCTCCATTCCACTGGCGCAGTTGAACAAGAGTAGGTCTAAGTCAGAATCCCGAATTATTCACCTGTGTAATATATATGATCCATCCTACAGCACCCAAGCTACGTCACTCGGAGCCAGGAAAAGGCAGCATGCGGCGGCCCAACTCGCTGATCTCGGAGAGCTCTCTGTCCAGCGGCACCAGCACCACCAGTGGCTCCTCCATCAGCGGAGGCTCCTCGTCGGGTCACCATGACGGCGGTGGCAGGCATAGTCTGCATTTTGGCAAGCTACCGGGACCACACAGCACCAGTTCCACCAACTGCAGTGCCACCCTGGAGCTGATCAATGAAACACAGGCGCTGAAGCTGGGCAAATCCCACAGTGGCGGAGGAATCAAGGGGCAGGAAACGGCTGCCGAGGGAGGCAGCAGTTCCGGAAGCGGCAACGGAAACGGAAACGGACTCGGGAGCAGCAAACGACACCACAAACGATCGACCACCATCGTCAGCCAGCTGTCCATGGGTATTGAGCTTGAACTGTGCTACTTCTTCTAGACGCACCCCGTAGCTAGTAGTCTATCCCTGTACATAATCTCGAAGAAATCCCCAGTATTACTGTATATAATCCCCACCAAACACCAAAACCTAACCCGTAATCCGTGCCTGTCGTGTGCTGCATGTTTGTTGTTCTATGTTGTTTGTTAATGCCGCTTTTGTGTCCTGTTCTCATCCGATATATAATATGCAATGTGTGTACATATCCACCCCATTCAGAGAGCGGCATAGTCTCCGACATGTGCGTCAGCCCGGATCAGGAGCCATCGCCGGCGGAGAGCAGCCGCAGCAGCTGGTCCACGTCCACCACAACGGCGTCCGGAGCCTCAACGACCAGTGCGTCCACGGTGATACTGCGGCGATATCGATCCTACGCCCATGCGGCGGAATCGGCAAGTCCGGACAGCGGCAAATAGGAGCTCCTGGAGCATCGAATCTAGATATATATATATAGGAATCCCCATTTATAGCTTTAGCAGAACGGTTTCATCGGATCCAGATGGTATCATCGCGATCGATCGCTAATATTATTTCATTATTTTTGTTATTTATTATTTATTACATTTTTAGTTTTCGTTAATTTGTCATAATCGCTGCAGTTCTCATTTGGCCTTATTTTTCGAAAAAAACAAAAACTCAATTGAAATTATTGAATTCAGCGTGTCAATGTCGAAGCATATTTCATATACATATAGTTCTTAGTCCACACAATCGAACGATGGGCGCCTTGAGCACCTCCCGAAAGGGGCGTGGCCGATGCCCAACATATCTGAATCGAAGTTCATTACGTACAGTTAGTTGATATGTAACCTAAGTGCCTACATTTAAAATAATCGTAAACGAACATAATAAATATATCTTTACATTATATTAAATCGATAGATAAGTATAAGCGAAAATTTAAAATCAATAAATGTTGCTTCAATGTAAAACGAATGTGGACACTTTAATTTAAATGGCCCGCCAAACCACAGTTGATCAGCCCTATTTATAGCCACCTTAAAATTCCCAAGTGCGTGTTTGCTGATGTGCTCGAATAAATAGGGGAATCTTGCTAGCTTACAATCTCTAAATGATATGATGAAAACTTTACTACCCGAATTTTCGTGTGGGCCTTTGCCTCTTTTGGTAAAGGGACGTAATTCTGATTCACTCAAAACTGTTTTTGCTTTTTTCTGTTAAAATTTAATGAGTTTTCGTATAAAAATAAACGTTTCGCTTACTACTAATTAACTTTGGGAAACTCCATTAACCGCCGTGTAAAGTGGATATAAAAAGAACGTTATCGTTGGGCTGCAGCTCGTAATCAAGTTCACCCTGGAAATTTATTTATTTAAAATGAAATTGTTTTAAGATCTTGAATTTGAACTTACCAGCAGTTCCCAATCTGTGTCGTTTATTAGAACCAAAATTCCAGGTCGCCTGTAAAGAACAAAAATTAATAAATCCAAGAACATGATTTCTTTAAGACCAACTTACACGGTATCGTCTTGAAGAAATAGTTCCGGTCGTTCAGTTAAAATATTGGAATGCATCCACTTCAGCAGATTGGCAATAGTCCCTTAAAAAGTAAATAATATTATAAAGATTATATACAACATTTTATAGCTATTTAGAACTTACATTTCTGACTACCATCTAAGGCGAGCTGCCTCTTTTTAATGTTACCAAAAAGTAGCTCAGCTCCTGCGCTGCGAAATTACCGTAATTGGTTTATTTTTATATATTTTTACTTTAAGCTGAAGCAATATTTACCTGAATTCCAATACGATTTTTAATTCCGGCGTGCCCATCATATGTTCGATGTAAATAAGAGTGTGACCAAGTCTGTTTCATCCGAATATCCCAGCTCTCCACAAATAGTTTCAAGTAAGGCTAACGAAAATCAGTCTGGCAACAACAAATTCAGAACTCCCAAAAAAGTTTTAAGAAATTTCGAGGAACCATTGTTTTTTGGAAGTAACGCCCTTATAAAGAGCTAAGCTTCTTCGTTCCTGTTTTTGTTAAGTGTTATTTTGAAAAGTAATTAATGTTTTGACTAAGAATTGAAACTAAGCTTAGACAGGTTTACGTAAAGATAAAGTCTTTAAAATATTGAAATAAACTATTTAAACCTTGTTAATTCTGCAAAGAAGAATTTTTTTTCGCCGGAACATACTCACCATTGTCGTTATTAACCCTAAGTAAAGATGCAAAGTTTTGCTAAACCAAAATACTCTAAGCCTTTAAGGTTCGGCGAGGCCATTGAATTGGTGCTCGAGTGGATATCCATTGAACCCAAGGACCGACAAACTTTCAAGGAAGATGCCCAGCAAATTGAAAATGAGTTTATCCGGGCCATATCCCGCCAAGATCCCTTTTTCGCCAGTGCATTCCGGGGCCTCGCTTTGACGGGCAGTAATCTGGATGACGTTAAGATCAATCTGCCGGATGAGTTCGATATGCTGACCACTGTACAGATGCCATGTGAAGTGAAACCAATTCCGCTGAAAGGTCATCCCAGCTATGTTTCTCTACGGGTCAGTGGGGCACATATTCCCCACCACCTGGTAAATCGGGAAGGCGAGGAATACTACATAAGCCGGCGGAAGGTTCAGTCCTGGTTCCGGGATAACATCAACGAAGTAATCCCTGAGCTATACAACATACAATGCGGGGGCGGGCGATCCTACGAGCTGAGAAATATTTCCGGCGGTCATGTAGCCCACACTATTAAGGCTACCTGCTTATCCGATCCCGGACGAAAGATTTGCTTTGACTTTGTGAGCGCCTTTAAGTTCTCTGCACGGGAGTGGCCACGGGTTTTCCCGCAGCACAGAGATGGGGATCGCAGCTGGTACGCCGTGCCCTGTAAGATTCGATCTCACAATGCTGTTGATGATCCTCTATCTTTCATCGTCTGCGCTCCTTACTGGGAGCGAATGGTCCTAAGCAAGAAACAGAACCTCAAGGACGGATTCAGGCTGATGAAAGCCCTGCGAGATGCAAATGATATGCCCAAGATCTTCAGCTACACAATCAAGAGTGTCTTCCTGAATGCCGCCAATAGAAAGAAGATCAACTGGAATCAATCCCCCGGTCAAATACTCATCCGGGTAAGTGCTTATTATTTTGTGAATTGGACTTTTAAATTACTATTCTTCATTCAGGCAGTCGACCTTATGGTGATGTTCCTCCGGAGGGGCTTTCTCCCATTCTACTTGGTGCCCGATGCAAGTGTATTGGAGGGCATTTCCGTGGACGAGAGGCGGGACTATGCCTCAAGACTTCGCCGCATCTTACGTCGGCTCATCAAGTGCAGGAATCGCAATTGCATGACTCCAGATGATATGCAGTTCATATTTGGAATGCGGTACTAATGGTGTACTTTTGTTTTAGCAGCTTGTTGAAGGCAGCATGCCATATATTTTGCAACATCAATTAATAATATTTTCACTTTGGTGTTTGTAAGGTTAGAAGTTGGGATTTTTTAAGGGTTTTATTTTTGGCCAATCAATCCGACCTACCAAATTTCATAAGGATCGGCCGACTATATCTTATAGCTGCCATATAACTGAACGATTGGAAATGCCATAACTTTGGTGTTTTTAAAGTTAGGAAGTTGGGATTTTTTATGAGTATTAAGAATGCATCATATGAATAATTTTGGAGAATATAGTTTACAGAGTATTCTGCAAGGGTATATCAACTTCGGCTCCGCCCGAAGTTAGCTTTCCTTTCTTGTTATATTTTCTTTTCTCATCCTTATAAAGGATTGGGTGTTCTAAATAAAACATATTATCCTGCCGACAGAATATTTTTTATTGCTTTTCCTTAGTCTGTGGGGGTTTTTCGGGGTTTAAGCCCAAATCTAGTTTGAAATCAATGGGCTTGTCGTAGCCCATTATCCGCACATAGTGTTCGGGATCATCAAAAAGCACTGGGTCCACGAAAAGCGGACGTTTATTGACCAAAAAAGAGGTAAACATGCCGGGCACCTCTGGCACGACGACATCTTCAGGTCGGAAATTCGTCTGGAAGGAAGATTTGATGTGGTTTTCAACTTTTAATCTGTATACCCTACTCACCTTGATCTTTTGCAGGAGCAGGGATATTGTAGTGGCGGTGTACTCCTCTGTTTTGGGATTGTAGTGCAGTTCCGTCACATATTTCTTGGTGATGAAGTGCAGCAGCAGTGGGGTCACAAAGGTGAAGAATCCGCCGACGGTGCACAGGAAAACGGCCATTCCAGTGCCTCCTATTTTCATTCCCTGCTCGAGGAGAATCGGCTGGGCTGCCAAGCCGGCTAAGCTGGTGCTCAGCGAGAAGAACTTGACCATTTTCATCCGGGGAGCCAGGGTCCCGTAGTAGATCCGCTGCAGTGCATCCTCGGAATCAGTTTTTGTGGACTTCACTGAGAGCCACCTGTTTTGTTGGAGTTTCTTTGGCTGTGGTTGTTGCGGTTTTGTAAAACTAAAGCCGGCAATGCATCTGCAGTTTTGTGGGAGGGAAATCTGACGGGTGGCATTTCCCAGGGCCACGCCGAAGTGTTTCCCGCGTGGCAGCGCCGCTCGTAAACTTAACATAGTGTAATTAACTAATTTAAAACGAAATAAACAGGTGTTTTCAAGCTGAACGTTGAATAACACGAGCAGGAGTGTGACCGTCGCTTATGGGCTTAAAAACCCAGAACACAAGAAGGGTATTTTTACAAAAATATACCAACTCAACTTAAGGTCACGTTATTTTACTAACGGAAATTTGAACACGAAAACAGCTTAATATATAGTAATAATTGTAAATAGCAGTTGATTTTCTAAACTATGGTATGACGAATGTCCCCTTCAAGCTAAAATCAAAAAAGTCTACAAATATAAAGTAGCATCAATAAAAATATCTTCTGTCTACAAACTGCATTGCTTGTATTTTTATATATATTTATATTAACTTGCGAATTTTAAAAGTCTGTTTATAAGGTAAATTTTGATTAAATATGTTTAAGTATAAAGACTTGTTTTAGGTAGAGGAGCCCGTGGCTTGCGTTGCAAATTAAAATATTTTATGAATTTAGTACGTCATTCCAAAGATAAACTGCAAATCTTCTGGGGTCATGTGGTTTCGATCGCGGCACTTGATGAGCCTACGGAAGATGCGACAGAGCTTTTTCCTATATTCCTTCTTAAGGTCAATGGAAAGATGCTCCAACATGTTAGTATCTGGCACCAAGTAGGACGGCAACTTTCCTCTTCGGAGGAACATAGCCAAAAGGTCTACTACCTAAATGGAAAGTAGATATATTAAAGTTATTAAGATTTTAAGACACTTACACGGATAAGTATGCGACCGGGTGACTGATTCCAGTTGATCAGCTTCTTCACATTGGCGGCGTTCAGAAAGACACTCTTGATTGTATAGCTAAAGATTCTGGGCATTTTATTGGCATTTCGCAGGGCCTTCATCAAGCGATATCCGTCCTTGAGGTGTTGCTTCTTGGTCAGCACCATGCGCTCCCAATAAGGAGCACAGGCGATGAAGGACAGGGGGTCGTCCCCAACGTGGGGATTCCGGAACTCGCATGGCACAGCGTACCAAGTGCGATCCTCGTTTGGGTGTTTGGGAAAAATACCTGGCCATTCCGAGGCCGAGAACTCAAAAGCGGGCACAAAGTCAAAGGATATAGTGCGTTCGGGATCGGACAGACATTTGGCCTTAATGGTTTGGGCCACATCCCCAATGGACTTGTAAGCCAGCTCGTAGGATCGGCCACCCTCGCAGGCTATGTTGTTTAGCTCCGGGATTACTGCGGTGATGTTGTCCCGCAACCAGGACTGCACCTTCACACGGTTAATGCAGTACTCATCCTCCCAGCGATCCACCAAGTGGAGCGGGATTTCAGATCCGCTGGCTCGAAGGAACACATAGCCGGGGTGACTTCTTATCGGCACTGGTTCCAGCTGGCAGGGCAACTGGATCTTGGTCAGCATATCGAACTCATCCGGCACATTGATCTTGACATCATCCAGATTACTTCCCGTCAAGGTGAGACCACGAAATGCCGAGGTGAAATAGGGATCTCTTCGAGAAATGGCACGGACAAACACGTTTTTGATTTGCTGTGCATCTTCTTTGAAGGTTTGTCGGTCCTCGGATTTAATGGAGATCCGATCGAGCACCAATCCAATGCCCTCGCCGAAGGTTAAAGGTTTCGAAATTGTTTTTTCATCGCAACTTTTCATTGTTTTTTTATTAAAAATACTAATTCAGCGAATCACTCAATAAAAATAAAATATAACGCTATTTTGAACTGAATAATTTTGGGTGTTCTATTCGAAGTGGCCGTCGTTTTGCCTTTAACACGTTGAATTTAATTTGGCAAAGGCAAACAGTTGCCATTATGTATTTTAATTGTTTTTAAATATAATAAACAGATGGTTCAGCTGTAAGTTAAATAAGATGTAAGTTAAATTAATAAATTTGTACCCATTTAGAGTAATGGAAATTTAAATGAATAATATAAAATAAAAATAAAATAAATTCTGCTTAACAAGATTATCAAATGGGCATCTAAAAAACTCAATAAATGATGTCATATAAAAGCTGACCTGATTGATTGTAAATTTATTTAATTTTTAATTTTTAATTGAATTGGATTTTGATTTTGAGTAAACTGATTTAAGAAATACATTTTAAATGAATATATAAAACGCTTTATTGCTCTTACAATTTTAACAACTCTTTAAGCAAATGACATATTCAAAACCTTTAAAAACAAATTAAAATATTATTCAATATTCTATTTAAATTTTATAAATTCTTAAAACACATGTCCCATTTAAATGCTAATTAAACAAATTAGAGAAAGATAAAGAATATAGAAATCGTTTTATTGCTCTTAAAATTTAAAATACTCTTTCAACACATGACCTATTTAAAAGCTTCAGGCCTGGAAGTGTATGTTCTGCGAACGATTTTCCAAACAATTCGAACAATACAGCTAATAATTTGGCAAAGGTCGAGTGCGTACTGCAGATTGTAATTGATTAACAATGAGCGTGGGCGGGGCCACGCCCCCCTTGCGGTGTTATCTGAAAACCAAAAACACACACAGAAAACTGGCATGTGGATCGGAATTAATATGCTCGAATTAATGGCAACTGAAGGGTGGGCGTGGCAGTTGTGGCTCTAGTTACCACTGCTACATGCAATTTGTCGCTGTTGGCGGTGACCGCCGCTTGACCACATTTTTAATTTATGTTCCTTTAATTGTTTAAATGGAATTGCACACACGCAGGTTATGGTTGCACCGAGGTTCCCAGCCATTTGTGTATTTTTATTTTTTAGCCCCGTCAATTGTTTGACTAGTGTGCCAAACGCACGCCTGGCTGAGCTGCACTTGCAGATCCATGTCCAGTTGGGCATCCACCCATCAACCCATCCACCCATCATCCCATCCACCTATCAACCCATCCACCCATCATGTTCCAAGGACTCCCCTTTGGATTCCGGCAGTTGAGTGACAGGCGGGCGGAGATCTTGAAATTGCTTTAATGCAGCGGCCTCCGGTTTCATTGGGCTGCATTCAGGCGTCACTAATCAACAATTTTCAAAGTGACCAAAAATCACATTTGATTTTGAATTGCCAAAGTCATGGAGTCTCTCTGTCTCTCTCTATCTCCCATCAGTCCGTCTCTTTCTCGCCGGCAATCCTTTTGTTATCCGTGCCTTTTGTTGTCATTTCATTATTGTTATTTCATGCATTATATTCCATGGATACACGGAAAAAAAATGCAGGGATCTAATTGCATAGATACCCATAGTACTAGAATCCATTTGTCATTCAAAATCACTTAAAATGCTGCCTTTTAGGTCAAACTTTTTCATGACCTATTTTATATCAGGCTCCCAAAAAATCATGAAGAAAATAAAAACAATTGTTCATGTTACTAATGCACTGCAAACACTTGTTTTGCTTACAAAATAGATAGGTAAATTTATTTAACTTAAAAATAAATAGATAAATTTATTCAATTTAAATGTCATTTATTATACCATTTTATTGACCAAATTTGGTTATAAGAGTTTCGTTATGTGCACTTTCAGCTTGGCAATTGTTTGGCCAAAATTTCACATGCAGCGGGAAAAATAATTCATGGGAAAAAAGCAGCGCGGATATATGAAGGAGTGGCAGGGCATGAAAAATAGCAGGAACACCATATTGCTCATTCAAATTCGCTGTGATATCAATTTATTTTTATGCTTTGGTGACGACCTTTTTTATGCCATCACCCCATGACTACACCCACTCTATCGACCACCCATCCCGCCCATTTGGCCCATAAATATACCACCTCACCATAGTTGTCCTGCTGCCTGATTGATGCGATTTTCGATTACAGTTGGCAATTTGTTTAATTCGGTCTTATTTACCTTTTTGGTCACCCTTGGT